GCTCGAAGTCTGTCTGTGAGGACCTGCACACCCTGGCACTCCCTTCCTTTCACAAGGGTCTGGTTAACTCCTGGGCGTGCTGGAGCTCAGTCCAACCCGTTTTCCCACAGCTTCATCCCTGTGGTGCTTTCTGAGCAGCGGTGCCCAGTCCTGGGCACCCCAACCAGTTTGGGGGACAGGGCTCTGCCACGGAGAGGAAGGGTGGTGGGACCCTGCCTCAGGCAGAGCTACCCCTTTTGGGTAGGGCTGCCTGGAAGCCTCCTCTGAGGCAGAGAATACCAGAGATGTACAAAGGGATGCTAAAATCCAGGGTAGTTTGAACAGATACTATAAACGGTGTGTACATATATATATATATATATATATATTAGATGAAGCTCAACATCTATTGGATAAAACAAAGTGAAAATAAGAAGAGATTTATGGACCTGTCTTCCTCAGCATCCTGAGTTTCTGTGGGTGGGCATTCTCCTCCAGGAATGGCTGCATGCTGCCAGTTTGATGATTTTTGGAGGTGCAGTGATACCACACAGCCAGTCCACGTCATGACAGCAAGCACCATCCATCCATCCATCCATCCATCCATCCATCCATCCATCCATCCATCCATCCATCCATCCATCCATCCATCCATCCATCCATCCATCATCTCTGGTATACGTGTACTCCGTGCTACTCACAGTACCCTCCCACAGGGTCCTCTCCTTCATGTGAGCCCCATGTAGCAGCCAAGGCAATGACCCACCTTGCTTCTCCCATCCAGCCACAGGTCTATAAGAGAATTAACAGGTACCATCCTTTGCAGCTAACAAAATAAGATGCCTATAGGGCAGTTATATTACTGTTTTCTTGATAACGATAGACATACATGTTGGCAGAGATGCCTAGCATCACAGACCTTGCAGTCTGATATTCCTGTGGTGACTCCTGGAAAACTCTTACAGACCTAGGATTTCAACCTATGAGAGGCATGAAACACAGGATCTCTTACATTTGCATACTTATTCTGAAGCTTCTTGGTGTAAGTTCCCAATGCTTTTAAAATAATATACCAAAGTCAGTATTTTGCCCTCTTGTCTTATATAAAGACAGCTTTTCTTGTTCTTCCTTCTCTCCCCTCTATATACAAAGTAAAACTGAAACAAATGGCAGCACACACAGTAATGAAATGCAAACATCTACTGATTTTCTGGAATTGCCAGGTCTAAGTGTCACCACCAGTAAACCCCACACACAACCCCTCCATTTCACTGGCAGGGCATGGGGGAAGGAGAGGACTCATTCTTGCCTAATTCATTTTAGATGGTTTCTGAAAAATAACATACTTTTTACACAGGTGGATTCAGCCTCTCATCATGGGTTTCTCAGTGTCACTTCTCTCCTTGTGTGACTCCAGTGCTTTTCTGTTACACACGAGAATGCTGCCTGTACAAACAGTGAATGAGTCAGCCAAAAAAGTAGATGTCCTGACCTCAGCTACATTTTCAACATAAAAAATAATATATTTTTTCCAAGTTACTGTGAATATAAAGCCATGCCTCCCATGATCAAGCTTGAATCTGGTAGTTTACTAGGTAAGTTGTTTGTGCTTTGTTATACACTTTTAATTATTTATTTGCCCTACACTTCTTCAACCAAGGACACTTTCCATAGCAGCTTTCCATGTCATGTAACTGGTAATATGCAGTGACTTCTCTTCTTAAAGTATCACATACCTACGCACAAATCATGGAGTGTGTGGGCTTGACATTGTTTTAAAGGTCATCTCTATTTTCCCCTAAACATATTTTCCTGCTTATTTAATAATGTCATTTTTGGACAACAACATGTAAAATGTTTCCATGTCATAGTCAATAAACAGCTTTTCTAATTAAAAAGGTGAGGAAGGTTTATATTTGGGGGAGAAGGGAAATAATGGATACAAGACACAGCTGCTGATATTTGGATACTACTTTGTGAATGTAATATAATCCTAACTACTCCAACATAAATCCCATGTGCTCAGCGGTCAGCTAGGCAACTGCTTGCCTTATGTCCACATTTTAATTTTTCTTGGAAGTGTGTGCACGTTGGAAACCTGGCCACTCAGCAGCTGGATTATGGCATTGGTGGTTTTTAGAATTCTCGCAATTTATCCCATTTGATGACATTTCTTGTGTTCTCCTGGTTCTTGACCATTTCTAGTTATCTCTCTCTGGTTTCTGTGTGTGAGAATGGGCCTGGATCCAGTAAAATATTTAAGCATGTGCTTAACTCTGAGTACCTGATAAAGGAGAGGGCTTAGGAAGTACTGACACAAACACTCCTCTAAGTACCAGTCAGTTATGTCTGAGAGCTCTTTGGGTGAATGGGCTGCAAAGATGATAGAAACACCTGGTGTGACAGACAGTCTTGAAAGAAGGTGCACAAGCAAGAGGTAGCATCCCTGGGGCAGCTGTGTTAGCTGTGTTCTGACAGCTCTGAGCCACTGACCCAGCCTGGCCCTCCTATGCCTGCTATAGATGTTGGTGCCCATGTTTTTCACAGATGGAGAAGACTTTCGGAGCTATCCCAAAAGGCCTTTCTATGCACACGAGATGCCTCCTAACATCACGTCAGTTTTGAATTCATTACCATGCTGTTCCTTTCTGTGCTGAAGCCATCCTTGGAACTGCTGCACAGAGGTATGCCCCAAAAGCCGCTTCTACAAAACTCCCTTAGGTCTGTGGCTTCCCTGACCTGTCAACTCCATGAGCCTCTTCTCCACCCACCTCAAAGGTTTTGTGCTCATCCCCACCCAGGCAGCTGGACCAAGCATGTCTGATGTGGCACCACACCAGGTACATCTCTGGAAACCAGGCAGAAGACAGGCAATGCATTTTCTTTGTATGCACAATGCACTCGGTGCATGGTTTGCTTTCACTGGCTTTTAAATGTTAGTTACATTAAGATATTTTTTTTTATTTTAATGTTATTGATAGGATCCATTCAATAAAACTTTAAAATGGCTTCTTCTCTCATTATAACTGTTGTCAGTACTACCACTTGAAATAAAATTTTGTTATGTGCTCTTTAAACCTATTAAAAGAAAATCAGTATTTACATCAGGCTTCATCCACCGTGACTGGACCCCCTTGTCAAGACAAGATGACTGCTCTCACTCACTTGTGCAACTTGAGCTGCTTGTAACCTTTTCCATTGAAAAAGATGACTGTGTTTTACTGAAGACATGCAAATAAATGCCACCTATCAAGTCCTTCCTGGTTTGCAGATGTTAAGTGACTTTTCTCTCAGTTTTATGCAGTTTAAATTAGTATTTGAATTAGTTAGACAAAAATGCTTTAAAATTAAGAAAGTGAATGCTTTCCACATGGACACTTTTTATGCTTTCTTCAGCCTTTTATTACAGAAAAACTGGGCAATTCAAATAAGACTCAGAATTGTATATTAAAACTGCAATTTTACTTCTGAAGGGAACCTTGCTTGACAATGGTTATACAGATTTTCTTTCCAAGCCACTTAATTCAAAACATGTTTCATTACATTTACTATATTACAGTGATTTAATAAAGTATGACTTTAATTTTAATGTCCATCAAAATATAGAACTTTTAATATGGGAGAACTCCTTTAATCCCACTAAAGAAAAGCACCATAGCAAAATCTTTGCCAGAAATACAGATACTTTCAAACAACATCTCTGAAACACTGCTGGAAATTTTGTTATTAACCACTCTGAGTTTTAACAAAATGAATTTAATTTCTGTTGTTTTTCATAAGTGTACTGGTAAGGACCTAAATATCATAAATTTCTTCTCCTGTATTTTACAAACAAGAGATTTGCTCTGCGATCACTGAATACATGTATTATACAGCTGGTAGGGAAGTGTCTAAGGAAGTGATGAATGCTCTTTGACAACTTTTCTTGTCTCCTCAGTCTTTTGAGGTGTTCTTTGATCTGACACTTCTTTCTACATCATACATGACTTCATTTCCCAGTGCAGTAATAGGCAGGGACAACGCTGGTCCTCCATACTGAGGATTTATCTGCCCTGTGTACTGCAATGCCATGTAAAGTTTCCCAATTACCTCTGTAGACATCCCCTGTGTAAACACATTTGGCATCAGTAAAATAAATGAGAGGAGCTATATAAATCTAACTTAATCTAATTCATCTGGAGAACGTACATAATATGCCTGTGTTACCAGAGATCATGTAATGTTATTGCAACCAAATTTCCACACTTGTCTTTGTTGTGATTTCCTACCTCCCCCCCCCTCCCCCCCCCCCCCCAATAATCTGTATATCATCACTCAGAGATTTGTACGTTTGATAGATTAGCATCTTTTGGGGCAAGAATCTCTGAGGCTACATACATAGTAAATAGTGAAATTAGGATGCACAGATTTCATAATACTCTGGCTCTCTGTTGTGTCCAATCAGCATTTAATAAAACCAATATTGGTTTCAATATAAATTCCACATGTGGGGCTGTATATATACATATTTATGAATAATAATATATAATATTATTATAACAATAACAATTAAAGGACATAATATCTCAGCGGTGTGTCTATTTCCAGACTTGGGTAAATCACAGTAGAATAGATGAGAATGATTTTCTTGTGCTCTATTTCTGATAAAAACCTATTACAGCAGGTTGGGTGAGTTTTCTCCTTTCTCAGGGGTAAGACTGTACAAACACAAAGCAGATTTTTTTCCCCAGAACCCTTCTGTAGAGCCCTTAGGCATCAATCCTCCTGAGGTCTAGGCACCAGCTGCTTTGTAGTCCTTTCCTTGTAAAGGCGTGCAGTTGTGTCGTATGGGTGAAAAAATAAAAACAAAAAAACAACCCACCCACCCAACCAAGAAACCATCCCACAAAAACAAACACTGAGTCCACAGGCAGTTTTGAATTTGTTCCAAAGCCTATATCCCTCCTAAATTTGTTGTGCTGCTTTGGGACTAAGTCACAAAATGTGCTTCATCCTTTCTGCAGCCAGCGGTTTAGGGAATTATCCCACACCCACCAGTCCAGACTTGGTTTTCTGAACCCCTGGCAAGCGAAGGGACCCAGCAGATAATGGGACAGCTACGTAGGCAATGACTTTTAGAGGCGAAACAGGTTCAGAAGGCATCTGAGCAACATCTCCACTTTCCCAGCAAGCCTCTGAGCCTACCTCTATGCTCAGAGGTCCTTCACCAGGCAGTAACAATGGCATTGCTGGTAGTGCAGGGGGTGAGGAACGAGCCCCTCATGCTGTTGGGTTATGCTCACTCAGCAGGCACTGGGTGCAGTCTGTTCTGCTGGCATGGGATGAGGACACCGGTCTGCCAAAGCACCTGAGCTCCACCCACAGAACTGACACCTGAATCCTGTTATTCCCCACAAACACACAGCTTTGGAGAAAGGTGGGTGGAGAGGGCAAGAAAAGCATGTTCACAAAGTTGTGTAAGCTCATTCTGTGCACAGCTTGATAGTTGCAATATCAATTATGCTCCTTAGCTTCCAAGAAACAGCTGACCACAAGGATGAAACTCGTGTGGGAGGAAGAGGGAGCATGCTTGGCAGCTGGCCTCCAACGCAGGAATCGCTGCCACAGGAGGACAGGTTAGTAACAAACTGGCCTTATTTGGAGCACAGTACAAGATTTTGCAGCTTCAGACTCAATTCCTTCCATCGTAATATCTCTCAGAGAACAGGAAGAAGGGGACAATGATGAGGTTTCTCTTTCTGTGCAGCTTTAACATTTATAAGGCACAGTGGTCACTTGAGCACTTTCACTTGGTCACAGTGGTGACAGAGATATAATGGTTTTCTCCTGTAGATTTAGGGGATTTGTGGTTGTGGCTTATGTTTTTTCTTGTATTAAGCTAACCTGGGTATGTAGTGTAGTGTTAGAAACCTATACTCTCAAAGGATATTGTCTCTATGAAAGCTGCAGTAACTCTGGGGGAAGAGAAAATTATTTCCTTTATTTTGGATGTATTTTAGATTGCCTAGAAATAATAGTACTAGTTAATAATGCTGTAATGCTATGGTCTCACAAAGAGGAAACACTAAACTTGGGGTATTTTGGTGAAATACCATTATGTTAAACAGTCTTATGGCTGCTTAAAAATATTTATGAATATAAAGACTGGCTTTTTTTTTCCTTGGGTCTTTACACGCTGCTGATATAGAAAGAACAGTCATCAGTCATTTTTAGATGCTGCTCTCATAAGGAGGAACCAATAAAACATTTTAGGTCGAACACATACATGTTATGTTTAGAACAACCACCCACTATGTACCATATGCTGTCACACTCTCTTAACAGAATGAGAAAGACTGAGTTTCCCCATTTATTTTTAAGGCATTTCTCATTAATACCTCCCCCATAGTACTTAATTTGCTTTAATATTTACAAATAATAGACGCTATTTCTTTTCTGAAGTAACCTGAAATACAGGCATTCAGTGTTCCATGCTCATGCTACTGTAATGCTTCTAACTTTGTATTACCTGTGTCATGAAGAAAGATTACTGAAATGGACCAAGCCCTACAAGTAAATTGAAAATCTATTACAAACTACCTCATTATAATAAACGAATGAGCTAAAGAGTACCTGAGTGTTTGAGGCCTAATCCAGCAAAGCATGTTGTAAGTGTGGAAAGTCTTGAAAAGAAAAAAGAAGTTATCCCACAAGACTGCAAGAGTGTTTTGTGGAACACACTGTAGGTGTTCTGCAAGACTGGGTCAAAATGCTCAGGACTTTAAGAAACCGACAGTTAGTAATATAATACTGGGTTTTTGATGTCATAGCCTCATATACAAATTATTTTGTAATGGCTAATACTTTCCATAAAGTTAAAATAATGTTGAGACAACAGTAGCATGTGGGCCATACCTTAGGCTGTGCATCATTCCATGTCTGGAGGGGCAGGAAAGGTTGAGCTGTCCCTGACTAACGCCCTTATCCCCATATGCCACAGGCTCCCCGAGGAGCAAGGGTAAAGCTGGATCCATCTGACAGGGTTGTCCTGCCACCATGGCACCCACAGAAGGGCTAATCCATGGCTTGGGCGTGCTGTGAAGGTGTGAGCATAAACAAGCTAAAACTGACCCATAGTCTTGGCAAGGTGGAAGAGGACAGTTATTTATACCCATTTACACTGAATTGCATCAATGTGCGGAACACTATAGTGACAAGATAGCTGTTTTCCCTCTCCAGACACATTTCTAACCTGTTTGCTTAAAACTGACCTGGGAAGTTAAGAGGTAACCCCCCAAGGCAACTGGAGGGACTGCATGGTTACCAGGAAGTTTTTGCCAATTTATTCTCTGTCACACTGTCTTTTTTGATGAATCTTATGCTCCTGGACTTTTCTCTTTGAATATTTTCAGACCTTGTGCATATACATGAGCAGAATAATACAGATTTAGACCATGTCCTCAGAAAGCGGGTTAAACCACAGACTAGTGTATGACTGCTTGCTGTGTGCTGCCACGGGAACAAAGTGAAGGAGATGATGTGACATCGGCTGGTGGAGAAAGCAGTCATACCATGCATATGCAAGTGATTACTTTTTGAAACAGAACTAGCCTCATGGAAAATGCTATTTATTGCTAAGCATTCATAGAGGTTGCCATAATTATAGAACAATTAGGTAGCAGGATCTATGGGGCAGGGTCTTTAGTGACCCTGGGAAGCAGCAAGCATACTTTGAGATACACTAACCAACCATACCCAGCTTCATTGGGACTGTCTGGGGAGTCCACATTGTGCTCTCATGATCGTTGGATCAGCTAGATCAATCAAGAATAATCTGAAGAGCAATTATGGAGTGGTAAATTGTGTCAGGGAAGTGAGTACATTGTCTAGCTGTAAAATGTGATTTTTCTGTGCTGGTGGTTTTGGGAGACCCTTTCAGTTCAGCTCAGTGAGAAGTTCACACTGCTACAGTGCTTCCTTTGCAATTGAGTAGGTGGTGGGATGTTCATGGTCTGCCACTCTTCAGGGCCTGGAAATACATGTACAGTCCCTACCATAGTGGGAAAGGACATGGTTTACCTGTATGGCACACCTCCTCTGATGATGGTATTACAGCTTTAATCCTGAAAGGCTTTTCCCACATCTGTTCTCCTCATGTTCACCACCATCATTTTGTCTAGATTCCTCTTAAAATGCCACCCTTCCCACATTGCCTACAGAAGGCAAATATATTTACAAAACAAACCAACCTGCTACAGAGCCATGACTCTGGTCACACACCTTGATTAATTCTGATTGTATTTTGGTAGTCATTGGCTTTCCTTGCCTCATCAACTGTTTATCAATGCCACCAGTTGCCTCATGTGTGAAAGTGATCAGTAAACACAGTGAGGCAAAGATCAAATCACTTCTGATTCTTTGGTAAAACTTCCTGAGCTCACTAAAAAAATAATAATTGCTGTTCTTTTGTAAGGGAGGATCATTATAACTTCTAAAACACTGGTAAAGGAAGGAAAATGGGGATGAAAGGACTTTAATGTTATCCAACATGGCATTGCTGGTTGCAAATATAGCTTCCTTTCCTTAGTTAAGTCCTACTGGAAACCTCTGCTCATTTGCTAACAGCTGTTCTGGAATCAGCAGAGCCTCAGGATCCACTCTTTTGAAATGACCTAATCATGTATTACTGTCTTGCAATTTACTCATTAACATTTAAAGAAGCCCTAGCAACACATTTTTCAAGAGTGGCTATGAAAAACTGCCATCGTATCGATTTCTTTGATGACTTATTTGCTTATGTGTGATACCAAATATTGTATGCAAATTCTAAATAGTTATCAAGGGATGACTTATGTAGTATCACTATAGTTCCTTATAAAGGTCTACTGCAAAGTGTGTGATCCAGTTCTGCTGCTCTGTCAGTGTTCATTGCAGACCATTTTTTTGTGAGAGGTGGTGTGCAGGAGATGGTAGAATGACTGTGAATATTTTGAAAATCACCATCTGTTTTGTGGAATCCAAGATGAACACCATCCCTGTGAAACCAGAGAAAGCAACCATCAGACTGTACAGTTTCTGTTGGTGATCGCTGTGCTTTGGCATTAGAATTTTCCTATACAAAAGCAAAAGAGCCCTGCACTGAGCCTTAGAGCCAGCTTTAAGAATTGAACAGCTGGCAAATAAATGAGACCCAATCTGCGTGCATGCAAGTGGAGGCTGCGAATCATATCCTTATCATGAAGGTGAGGAAAGCGGGAAAATCTAGGTTGATAAATGAAAATAAGAGAGAACGAGAGGGCAAGATTTATGGAGTATGGCCTCTCCAGTTCCAGGTACAATGCGCATTTGTTTAAAAAAATAAGAAGGCAAACCAAAAACCAACAAATCCACTGAGTAGAAAATGCAAAGCACAATATAAATGCTAAGGGATATTTGTCTGGATGATTTATACACATATAACATTCCCTTCCAATTAAATTTACAGCCATTTAGCTGTACCTGTATTTTTGATCTGTTAGTTCTGTAAGAGTAATGCACTCAGTACCATTAAGGAGAAGTGAACCAGATAAGCAAACTCCTGGATGGGAGCACAGTCAGGCCATTTGGGAAAACCTGTGTAGAGAAAAACTTCTCTTTCCCTGTCCCACTGGCTTACGCTTTCTTCTCCCACGACTTACATGCAAGGGGGAATATTGAGAAAACATTGGCATTGTTGCAAGAATACTTTGGAGCTCATCAGGCAATCTGTGCATATTTTCACAAATATTTTTAGTGGGGGGAGAAAAGTACATAATTTAGACCTGCAAAGAGGCATGTTTAACTTGCACTCTCCTCTGGCCACTTACATGGAACTTTACTCTCCTCCGCTCTCTAAACACAGATAATTGCCATGGTAACCGCTGTATTTCAAGACTCTTACACATATACTCACACCTTTCTTAAAGAAACACAGAGCACAACAATGTGGGATCCGAAACAGTAAATCACCGGGCTGTTTTTTATTTGTTGTTAGCCAACTGTCAGGATTTAGGGAAGAGCTGGAGACTTTCAACCCCTATCAGTTTCAGGCCAAAACCCGAAGATGTTTAGACAGACACTTTGACATCTTCACTGAAAATCTGGATGTTGTTTGGTAACCCTGGGCAAGGAATGACTGATGATCTCCCCGGGTGCAGGGCTAGAAGATTCCTGAGCTAGGGAAGGAGATTAAGGGCCTAAATACTGAAAACCAATGAGCCACCTTTAGGATTAGGCACTAATTTATCAGAGTGTGAAGCCAGTGACATGCAGGGAGCTCCCTGGTAACACGGTGAACTTTCAACGCTGCTGGACTTGAAGGTCCTTCTGACAAATACACTTCATACATACATACCCTTATATCTATAGATACATCTGTCTCCTTGCTGACTAGATGGCCTGCACCGAGAAATGCCTCTGCACACTGCCCCTGGGGTATGCCAAAGACAGGAGGGAGGAGACATGCCAGGGTGCAAGGCCCCCCTGACCACCCCATGCTGCCTCTCCTTGCTGGTCCCTTGTGGGCTTGAGAGCATCTGACACAGGTCAGAGAAAGCAGTCTGAGGGCAGTGTCCAACCGGGATATATAAACATACCTGATGTATAAACAGTATTTTTT